TCCAAATATTAATAGTGGGAGACTTCAACACCCCGCTCTCAACAAAGGACAGGTCAACAAAACAGAAATTAAAGAAACAATGACTCTAACAGAGGTCATGAATCAAACGGACCTAACAGACATCTACAGAATCTTTCACCCAAACCCAAAAGATATACCTTCTTCTCAGCACCTCACAGAACCTTCTCCAAAATAGACCATACAGTTGGTCACAAAGCAAGCCTCAACAGATAGAAGAAGATTGATGTAATTCCTTTTATCCTATCTGACCACCATGGACTAAAGCTGGACCTCAACAACATCAGAAAAAGCAAACAGCCTACACACACATGGAAACTGAACAACTCACTACTCAATGATAGCTGGGTCAGGGCAGAAATAAAGAAAGAAAGTAAAGTCTTCCTAGAATTCAATGAAAATGAAGGTGCAACATACCCAACCTTATGGGACACAATGAAAGCAGTGCTAAGAGGAAAGTTCATAGCACTAAGTTCCTTCAAGAAGAAATTCAAAACATCTAATGCAAGCAACTTAAAGGCTCACTTAAAAGCCCTAAGGGGGAAAAAAGAAGAAGCAGACACACCAAAAAGGAGTAGATGACTGGAAATAATCAAACTCAGGGCTAAAATGAATAAATTAGAAACAAACAAACCAAAATCAAAGAATCAATGAAACCAAGAGCTGGTTCTTTGAGAAAATCAACATAGACAAACCCTTAGCCAAACTGAATAAAGGACAGAGAGACACTACCCAAAACAACAAAATCAGAAATGAAAAGAGGGACATAATGACAGACATTGAGGAAATCCAGACAATCATTAGGTCTTCAAAAGACTATATGGCACAAAATTTGAAAATCTGAATGAAATGGACAATTTTCTTTGTCAATTCCACTTATCAAACCTCAATCAAGAACAGGAAAATCAAATAGTCCTATATCCCCTAAGGAAATAGAAGCTATCATCAAAAGTCTCCCATCCAAAAAAAGCCCAAGGCCAGATGGTTTCAGTGAAGAATTCTACCAGACCTTCAAAGAAGAGCTAACACCAATACTCTTCAAACTACTCCACAATCCAGAAACAGAAGGAACATTGCCAGACTCATTCTATGAAGCCACAGTCACCTTGGTACCTGAACCTCACAAAGACCCAACAAAGAACGAGAACTTCAGACCTATCTCTCTTATAAACATTGATGCAAGAATATTTAATAAAATACTTGCAAACCGAATCCAAAAACACATAAAATATATCATCCACCATGACCAAATAGGCTTCATTCCAGGCATGCAGGGGTGGTTCAATATATGGAAATCCATCACTGTAATCCACCATATAAACAAACTGAAAAAAAAAAAACACATGATAATCTCCTTAGGTGCTGAAAAAGCATTTGATAAAATCCATCACCCATTGATGTTTAAAGTCTTGGAGAGATCACAGATACAAGGCACGTACCTAAACATAGTAAAGGCAATATACAGCAAGCCTATAGCCAACATCAAACTAAATGGAGAGAAACTTAAATCAATCCCACTGAAATCAGGGACAAGGCAAGGCTGTCCACTCTCTCCATAGCTCTTCAAGAAGTCCTTGCTAGAGCAATAAGAAAATTAAAGAAGATCAGGGGGATAAAAAACTGGAAAGGGAGAAATCAAAGTATCACTATTTGCTGATATGATAATATACATGAGTAACCACAAAAATTTTACCAGGGAACTCCTACAGCTGATAAACATCTACAGCAAAGTGGCTGGATACAAAATTAACTCAAAAAAATCAGTAGCCCTTTTGTATACAAAAGACAAAAGGGCTGAGAAAGAAATTAGGGAAACAACATCCTTCACAATAGCCACAAAGGACACAAATACCTTTGTGTGACTCTAACCAAACAAGTCAAAGACTTATATGAAATGAATTTCCAGTCTCTGAAGAAAGAAATAGAAGAAGATATCAGAAGATGAAAAGATCTCCCATTCTCATGGCTTGGCAGGATTAACATAGTAAAAATGTCCATCTTGCCAAAAGCAATCTACAGATTCAATGCAATTCCCATCAAATTACCAACACAATTCTTTACAGACCTTGAAAGGAAAATTCATGTGGAATAACAAGAAACCCAGAATTGCTAAAACAATCCTCTAAAATAAAAGATCTTCTGGAGGTATCTCCATCCCTCATCTCAAGTTGAACTATAGAGCAATAGTAGTAAAAACTGCATGGTACTGGCATAGAAACAGGCTGGTGGATCAATGGAATCGAATACAATACCCTGAAATAAACCCACAAACTTATGAACACCTGATTTTTGACAAAGATGCTAAAGCCATACAATGGAAAAAAGCACCTTCAACAATTGGTGTTGGTATAACTGGATGTCTAGAAAAATGCAAATAGATCCATACTTATCACCCTGCACAAAACTAAAGTCCAAGTGGATCAAAGACCTCAACATAAAAACAGACACACTAAACCTGTTAGAAGGAAAAATGAGGGAAGAACCTTGAACTCATTGGCACAGGAGACAACTTCCTAAACAGAACACCAACAGCACAGGCTCTAAGATCAACAATAAATAAATGGGACCTTATGAAAGTGAAAAACTTCTGTAAAGCAAAGAACACTGTCACCAAAACAAAATGACGGCCTACAGATTAGAAAAGATCTTCATCAACGCTGTATATGACAGAGTGCTAATATCCAGAATATATAAAGAACTAAAAAGGTTAAACAGCAACAAATCAAGTAACCCAATTTAAAAATGGGGTACAGAGATAAACAGAGAATTCTCAACAGAGGAATATCAAATGTCAGAGAAACACTTAAAGAAATGTTCAACATCTTTAGTCATCAGGGAAATACAAATCAAATTGACACTGAAATTTCACCCTATACCCATCAGAATGGCAAAGGTCAAAAACTCAAGTGACAGCACATGCTGGAGAGGTTGTGGAGAAAGGGGAATCCTCCTCCATTGCTGGTGGGAATGTAAACTTGTACAACCACTTTGGAAATCAATCTGGTGCTTTCTCAGATAATTAGGAATAGTGCTATTTCAAGATCCAGCTATACCACTCCTAGGCATATATTCAAAAGATGCTCAAGTAAACAACAAGGACATTTGTTCAACCATGTTTGTAGCAGCTTTATTCATAATAGCCAGAAGCTGAAACAACCCATATGCCCCTCATTTGAGGAATGGATACAGAAATTGTGGTACATTTACACAATGGAATACTACTCAGCAATTAGAAACAAAGAAATGAAATTTGCAGGCAAATGGTGGGAACTAAAAAAAAATCATACTGAGTGAACTATCCCAGAAGCAGAAAGACACACAAGGTATATACTCACTCATAAGTGATATTAGACATCTCATATAGGATAAACATACTGAAATCTGTACACTTAAAGCTAATCAAGGAGGATTCTGGGTAAGATGCTCAATCTTCATTCAGAAGGGCAAAGAGGATGGACATCAGAAGAGGGAGAAAACAGGGGACAAAACAGGAGCCTACCACAGAGGGCTTCTGAAAGACTCCATCCTGCAGAGTATTTAACCAGATAATGAGACTCATAGCCAGACTTTGGGCAGAGTGCAGGGAATCCTAGGAAAGAAGGGGGAGCTAGGAAGCCCTGGATGGACAGGAGCTCCACAAGGAGAGCAACAGAACCAAAAAGTCTGGACACAAGGGTATTTTCTGAGACTGATATTCCAACCAAGGACAATGCATGGAAATAACCTAGAACCCCAGAGGTAACCAGTGGCAGCTCAGTGTCCAAGTGGGTAATGGGAACAGAGACTGTCTCTGAGATAAACTGATTGGTCTGCTCTTTGATCACCCCCTCCTCACAGGGATTCAGCTTTACCAGGCCACAGAGGAAGACAAGACAGCCACTCTTGATGAGACCTGATAGACTAGGATCAGATGGAAGGTGAGGAGGACCTCCCCTATCAGTGGACTGGGGAAGGGGCATGGTTGGAGAATAGGGAGGGAGAATGTGATTGGAAGGGGAAGAGGGAAGAAGCTACAGGTGGGATACAAAGGGAATAAGCTGTAATTACTAAAATAAAAATAAAATATTAAATAAAAAAAGAAAATAGAGAAAAGAGAAAAAGAAAAACCGTTGTCTCAGGATGAAAGAAGTTGATTGATATACTTAACTTTCCGGTAATGAGTTAAAAAGCAGGTGTTTAGTGAATGTTAGCTCTTGTCAGCTAATAGCCAACATAGGCAAGGTAAACCATTGGTATTCAGTTAACTTTGGGATAAAGGAACACAGAAATCCATGCCTTTTCTCTCTGACAGTCACTTCTAACTACGACCAGATTCTGTCTGCTGGAACTTCAGTCAACAGGTTAGAGATTCTTTAGGTTTCACAGGTGATGCCCATGTCTGAACGTGGCTTAAATGGGCATCTCCCTGCCCCCTCACTCCCAGAATGACCTAGGGCAGGTACCTTTACCTTTCAGAACCTCAGCGCTTCATCTCAGTGCATTCCATACAATGACAGGGAGTTGCTGTTGGAGCAAGAGGCACAGAGGCTGATGTAAACGTGATTTCCATTTCCTGTTGCGAGCCACACACCTCCCAGTCCCTCACTTTCACTTCTAGAAAAAACACACTCCCCAGACCAGCTTAGCTGGCGGCAGTCCAGTGTAGGGAGCAGGTACATTTTAATTTGCCACACCCACTGACTTCGTGCATTCTTGTTCTCCTCCTCCAGGGACTTTCCTGACTTCCTTCTGTAAATGAAGGAAAGAACACATGAGCATACTGTATATAAATATGCTTGGGAAAGCTTTCTTCCTTTTTTTTTTTTTTTTTTTTTTTTTTTTTGTTAAAACCAAACTTGGTTTCTGTTGTAGGTGGCACATTCCCTAGACAGGCAGGGCGGGCTATAGAGGGCTGCCAGGGGGAGGGGGCAGTAAAAAGGGGAGGAGAGGCAGAGTATTAACTCACGAAGTGTGACAGCTGCTCTCTTATTTAATGGGGGTCTCTGGTCAGAAGGAGTCAAAAGTGTCTCCAAGAGAGCAGAGGCATGGCAGAGGAGCTGGGGCTGGGCTTTGGGGAAGCAGCCAGAGTGGAAATGCTGCCGCTGCCAGAAGGCTGCAGACCGGAGGCCAGGGCCAGGCTAGCCGCCAGGAGCAAGGCGTGCTTAGCTGTCACCTGCTGCCTGCTGTCATTTCTCATCTTCACAGGACTTAGCACCTTCCTGATGGTTGGGAAGCTCCAGGCCCGTGGAAAAGACTGTAAGCTGAGGGTAAGTATCTTGCTCTTACCTAGGGAATCAGTGGTCTCTCTGCAGGCAGCCACACATTCTAGCTTGGGATGGAGCTGTTCATGGATAGCTTTGTTAGCCTCCCTGTACAAAGCAAATAGAGAACGGGAGGGTGAGAGGTGGAGAGGTCCCATCTGGTTCTTAACTTCGAATTTCCAAGGAATTGAATTGTTTCATCTCATGTTTATGCAAGAATAGCTTCGCACTCCATATAATTTTTTATAATTACAATAATAGTGTGCTGATACTTTGGAAACATTCCTTTCCTTAAGAACAAAAAGCTCTTAAATTATATTACATAATGCATGATTACTGAAGGGAAAGAACAGAAATTACACTGAGGAAATGAAGAGGAAGCCTTCCTTAGAAATCCTTAAGGTGAAAACTATTAATGATCTAAAATGTATAATTTCTTTCTATTCTTAATAAAATGGGATCTTCTGAGCTTCGCACATAGCATGATTTTGTTTCTATGGTAAATGAGTCCATGGAAGCATGATGCATGGGTGATTGTACTGTGTTCATATATGTGTGTGATAAAATTTATTTAACCAATTCCTCTTGTTGGGTTTAGAAATATTTTTCAGTACTCAGTTAAGAATCTACTGACTCTGAGGTCTTGTGGGGCTGGAGAGGAGCTTGGCCAGCAGAAGGATATGAGAGTGGTGGTAGGGGAATGAGTGAACAGGTGTCCAGGAGGAGACTTAAAGTCAGGGCTGGGGACTCCCAAGAAGGATCTGAAAGGCCAAAATATGTTATTTAAAGAATATTCTTTAGGGGAAAATGTACCACATAGTCTATGGTGACTGATTCAATCTTAATCTCAGAGACTCAATTCTAAACTAGACAATAGGTAGCCTACTTGGAAGCCTGGTCTCTAATCAATCCTGGGCAATTTCCATGCTGTGGCTAATGTGTAACCTGCCACTCCATCAGGGTCAACAAACAGTGATTCAGGCAGCCACCTGTCAGGGCTTATAAAACATAGGTATGTGCAGTTAGACCAAGAAGCCTGCTTATGTTAGAAGGGAACTGTAGGGACTGGGAAGATGGGAGGTCAGGCTGTGACCACAGGAAACACACACACACACACACAAACACAGAGGCACTCCAGGGAATTCTCCACCTAGAAGGAAACAGCTGTTCTTGAACAAAGTATTACTACGTGGCCTCCAGCCACCTGTGCCTCCCTGGACTCTAAAAGGATCCCTGACATACAATAAGATCCTACTGCCCAGGATGCTGTATGCAATCCCCATGTTGGCAGAAGCCAGAGAAGGCCATCTAGGTGTAGTCCAGAGAAGGGACCTGGCAGGAGCAATGACCAGAAAAGAAGACCCATAAAGAAAGGTGCTGGGTGTCATCACAAACCACAATACCCCAGAGGCCCCTTCTTGCCTCAGATGCTTGAGGTATGAACCACACTAACACCTAATATCCCCAACCCATCATGAAGAAAGCACTCTCCCTGGATGGGGGACACACAGAGATGCTTGGGGCTATTGTTTAACAGGCTACAGAACATCTTAGTGTACCAAAACAGAAAAGAAAAGGGAGTGATACTGGGATGCAGGGAGCCATCCAGATCCTGAAAAGAAGCATCTGGCCACTTACGGAGTTTAAGGGAGAAAAACATTCATGAAACAGCTTGCAAAGGCTTAAACAGGGGCCCGTTTGCTAAGATGCACAGACAGAAGGAACACAGAACAGCAGGGAGCATCCAGGGTCAGTACCCTAAGAAGCAACTACCACCAGTCCCTTGGCATGGGGTGAAAGGAGTTTTAGAAGAGTGATTCTCAACCTGTGGGTCGAAACCCCCACAGTGGTAGCTTATCAGGTATCCCGCATATCAGACATTTACTTCACAACTCATAACAATATAAGGTAGCAACAAATAATTCTGTGGTTGGGGAGGCAGTCACACAACATGAGGAATTATATTGAAGGGTCCCAGTTAATTAGGAAGGTTGAGAAGAACTGTTTTAGAGGGATCTAGTAGGGAGCTAACCTTTAGAAAGGAGCTAACTGGAGGATGCAAAGGTTTGGACAAAGAAAAGCACAGGCAGAGGAGGCAGGACACACTGGCCATTTCCCCCTCTAGATCTTTAATCCCATTTACCAGACTCAAGTGGAAGTCAGGGCTCAGAGAAGCCAGGGAGCAGCCAGGTCTCGCCAGAAAGGAGCCTTGCTGAGAGGACAGAGATGGAACTGGAGGTTTCTAAAAGAGCATTACTGATTCAGGGGACAAGTCAGGATGTGAAATCCCTGGAGGGGAAACTGGGCCAAAATATGGCTCTCAGGTCCCAGGACAACCCAGCTCAGCCATTTTTGGCCAAGTGGCAAACAGGCTCCTGGTTTTGTGTCTTTGAGCTCTGTTTCCTTCTCTGCCACAGGGGATGTTTCTGTCAGCATACTGGTAGTATTAATAAGACTCATGCACGAGTGTTTTATATGTCTGGAATGTGGCTGAACCACATGCCAGGGATACTAGGATATAATCATCACTCTATGTCAGACAACCAGACAACCAACCACCAGGGAAACTTGATTTCAGGCCTCACAGAGTTTTGAGATTGATGCATGAGACTGGAAAGGATGTTGTGGAAGTTCTGGTGTCCCCTAGCCTGGCCACAGGGAAGAGGTGCCATGGCTCTAGGAAGGCTTTCTGAGAGAGTCCAGGAAGGCTCCTGTGGAATATAAGACTGTGCTGAGGTTTCTGTCAAAGATCTCCTTTGAGTTAAAAGTAAGCCGTTCCTTTGTTTTGCAGATAGAAAAACTTAAGAGTGGGAGGTGGAATAAAGACACTGACCTACGCCTGTACCTGCAGCCAGAGGCAGATCAAAGCTTAAAACCAGACATCCTGAGCCCTGTTCTCCATCAGGGCAGCAGTGCTCACTCACACTGCTCTAGGTTCTAGGTGTCACACCACAAAAAGAATGCTTTCAGCAATGCCATGGGGGAACTCACGGCCACCACCAGCAGCCCCAGGCGAGTCCATCGAGGAGTTGCACAGATCTGCTGCAGCACTCGCAGAATCACCCACCTAGGACATGTAGCCCAGCAGGAAGTTAGGGCAGGGCAGGGGGGGTGAATCAGAAAGATTGCCTGGCTCACTTATGCCAAGGAAATACAATTGAAAACAAAATTGTTTCCTAACCCAGAAGATCTCTCTCTCAGGAAAGGCAGAAGAGAAAGAAATAATTCTGTTATTGAATAATCCTTAAACCAAGACATGATGTGCATGTTGAATGAGCTGCTTAGAGATTGCAGTTGTACATGAGCTAGCAGGTACAGCCAGCACCTACAAGCTCAGTGCAAAGTGCCAAGTGGCTCCTGGCATTCATAATAGCATATGCTTGTTTTCTGAAAGAGCTCACCTCCATGTATGCATTTACAAACTCATGGAGTACCCAGGGAAGAGCTGAGAAATGAGCGCTTCTTCCAATAGCCAAGGAGGGAGAAGTGGGTGGCTGAGCCACCGGGAAAGAAAGGAAATGTTTATAAACATTACTTGAACAAAATGTATGTGTTCCCTGTTTTAAAAGAAGAAATAGCAGTGGTGTGGTGGCTTAAGATCTTCAGATTTGTGGAAGGCACTAGGCTCATTTGCATTTTGGAAAAACCATGGGTACTGAGTCGAAATCTCAAACTTGGTCTGAATTCTAGGCTGACCACTTGTTAGTATGTCATCGGCCTTCCCATGGCCTCTGCTTGCATCTGTATGAAATATGGGTAATTAAGAGCGAGGAATGTTAGGTGTCTGGCAGTGCTGGGGATTAGCCAAAGGCAGCGCTTACATCATGCTGACCAGGGAAATTCCCTGCTCAGGGAGATTACTTCACAGAGCACAACTGACCTGCCTGCTATGGAATCTGCCATCAGGGCCAGAGAGCAGGTTTGGGTGCTGTGGGGCTTTTCTTGAATTAGGAGTGTCTCTGCTCCCCTTCTGCACTTCAGTCTTACCCTATCCTCGCAACCTCTCCCCTCAAACTACTTCTTATCAATGGTGTTTGACAATGATTCAGCTATCCCCCAGGGCTCCAAATAGTTGCCACTGCTCTAGAGCAGGTGCCCTGACCCCTCTGGCACCGGCACCCTAAGGCCTGGTCTTTGTTCCACCCCATTTCCCCCCAGCTCAGGACACGCTGAAGCCTCTTGGCTGCATGCCAGACATAGGGTGCTCCTGGATTCTGCGCAGTGGCTCTCCTGACTGTGTGGTAGGGCTTTCTGCTCAGTGCTGCACTCCTGTTCCCTCGGTACTCCCTCCCCAGACCCTCCCCACATTCTTCTCAGGCCCCTTTAATCTCATTTCTCCAACCTTTCTGAAAATCTCTGCAAGACTCCACTGTTTGCTGCACTCTCTTCTCTACCCTATTTCCTTACCCCACACTCCAGAAAAGTCTGGAACACTGTAAGTGATCAATAAATGCTCGCTCTATTTCCTCCTGGAAGGACACCCAGCAGTGCCTGGTGAAGACACTTCAGTTTTCTGAATGGAAAGGGGATATAGTACTGGGTCTTCCCTGTGCCTCAGACTCTGTACATAAAGTGAGGGAATGAATGAGCTTCCTTCCTGGCTGTACTGGGAATTCTGCAAGACATCTGGACAGCTATAGGCAAGGAAGGATGCTCCCCAGAGGAGTTCCCCAGCCACTCCACCTTGGACAGGCCTCTTATCTTGCCCAAGTTGTTTCCTGTTGAAGGTAAGCAATAACCGTAATCCTCAGAATTGTCTAGAAGAAACAAACAGCTGAGATAGAAGAACCCTGTGCCTGTCATTCCCTTAGTGGAGCCACCCCTGGTGTAACCAGAGGAAGCCCCGCGTGGAAGAGCGGCTTAACTCAAGAGTTAGGTTGTGAGCAGCTGGCAGAGAAGACAGTAGCAGTTCAAAGGCAGAACAAGCTGCAGAAGCGCATCCCGGGTGGTCATGGCTGCAGCACAGAACTGGTTAGTTCCTGAGCTGAGCGGCGCTGTCGCTCGCT